ATCTCCTTCTCCAGTCTATGGTTCAAACTTTTATATTTAACTGAAGATACAAAATTCACAATCTTACTGATTTGACTATTATAAACAACATACAAATTATGTTAAATATTACACCTCAATATCCATATAATTCCTTTTTATTTGAATACTGAATATTATATTTTTAATTTTTCTTAAACATAAATAGTAAATACGTTGTATACTCTATACAATAAACGATTTTAAAACTAAATCTTTTCTAAAAATATATAAAATTAGATTTAGACATTATAGTTATTAATTAATTAACGAGTTAATACCCAAAATGGTCCTCGACTATAGTGGTTTTTCTCAATTTCGTCCTAAATGACTTTGGTGACCTAATGTAGTCCCATATTTTTGTGTTTTTGCTTAATTTAATTTAGTCATCCGTTTGTTATTCCGTCAAATTGGTGTTAAATAAATGAACAATTTAGTAATATCAATATTGACCTCTCTTTACTCTCAGTCCTACGAAGTGCGAAATCCCTCTTTCTTTTACGAATTACTCTTAATTAGATCTGCGAATCAAATTTTATATTTGCAGGTTTGGGAGTAATTCTGGAAGTAATTTGTAAAAGAAAGAGAGATTTCGCACTTTACATGTCAAGGAGTAAAGATATGTCAATATTGAAATTACTGAATTGTCTCTCTATTTAACACCAAATGAACGGAATAACAAATGGAGGACTAAATTGAACAAAAACACAAAAAACTAGGACTACATTAAGGGTGTGGAAATCATTTTCCGGGTTTTCAGTGTTTGGATGTGCTTGGAAATCAAGTCAACGGAAAGTTGTGCTTGGAAATCAAGTCAACGAAAAGTTATTATTATTATAAAATAACAAATAATACTACTACTCTCTCAACCTATTGAAGCACACTGAGTTAACACTGCCTCCACTAAAGCTCAATCTCATGACCTCCCATATAAGAAAGTCATTACATGCCATTTGAGCACAAAGTGCTTGGCTACCACTTATTATTATTGTTGTTGTTGTATTGAATTACAAGACTTTGATGAGTTATTTTGATATCTTATTAGTTATTTTTTATTATATTTAAAATTGTTATTATATTATTAAATATTATTATACATGTTGTAATATTTTAAATAAAATAATTAAAATGTTTAATTATACAATTCTATTCATTTTCCAGAAAATGAACCAAACACACTAAAATAGTTTTCCAGAATGCAACCAAACACTAAAAAGGAAAATATCTTCTGAAAAATAACTCATTTTTCAAAAAACATTTTTCAAAAGTCATTTTCCTACTTTCCAAACGGACCATAAGTCACCAAAGTCATTTAGAATGAAATTGAGTACTCGATAACTATTTTAGATATTTACTCATTAATTAACAGTCAACTCAAGAAATCGAGTCAAGTCAATCTTTTCTTACCAATAATCCAACTATAAATGAAATTACAAAGAAGATATATTATACACGCAAACCGGCCAGAATGTATTTCGTTTATATATAAATTTGTGTGCGATTATTTGTGAACAAAAATAGTCCAACTTTCCTAAAACTAGTATGGTTCAATGTACAAAAATGTAAGATGATAAGGATTATATAGTAATTTGCATGACAGCATCTTCCATTATTATTGTCTTAGTGTGGTTGGACCACAATGTTTTTAACGTTTTTCTATATTTTTCTAGAAACATCTGCACTCCAAAGCTAGATAAAATTTGTTCTACTATTTTCTATAGACAGATTTTTTCTTTCAATGTTCTATGTGGATCATATCGATCATATGATATATTATATAATGTAAAGCTTTCAATTTATGAAATATGAAAATTATATATCCGCATGCCTAGAGTTGCATGTGTCTCCATCTGCCCACTCATATATATCATCTTTCAAAAAAATAAAAAATAAGTGTTCCACAGTTTTTCAACAAAGAAAATTTAAATTCTTCAAATGCCACGTGCATGGTTCATTATACTATAGGTCTAAGACATTACAAAATAATTGGATTCAACATCGGTTTTGAAAATATATGTCAGTTTTACAAAATAAAACTAACAATCCATATAGTTGGAGGGGATTAGAATTCTAATCTCACTTAATTTTAAAAGCAAACAATTTTATGTGGAATTGTAATTCTCATTCTCACAGAATTTGAATCTCATGCCTCCTCTTAGTATTTTCAATTCCATATATATACTAGTTTTTTATGCGCATTGAGCGATTGGGATAATGCTCAATGTTTTTTTTTTTAAATAAGTACTTTAAAGTATATTAAGACAAGATTATATTGAAATTGTTCATGCATAGATAATTGAAGGTTGAATTTGCGTATTTAAATAGGTAATTCTTCTCCCAAAGGTTGAGTCCCCTACCCCAAGGGCTCCCCACACTGTGACCCGACAGAGCATTGTAGGAAGTTGTAAATCACGGAGACTCAATGGTTCAGCAGACAGGACCAAATGCCGGTGCGAACAAGGAATCTGCCCACTTTGGACATAATTCCTGCACTGTCGCAGCCGAGGTTCAAACCTTGGTCTCTTCTCCTAAATACTGCCCACTAAACCATTGAGCTAAGCCCGTGCGGGTTAAATAGGTAATTCTAAGTTTACAAATGCAAGATAATATAGTCAAGATTGATTATAATTGTCAATAAAATAATTGTATAGGTATGGTTGAAACCAAATACGGGACATAAGGGAGAACAAATAAAAATTAGGGCATAAAATATTAAATATATACTAATATTGTTTGAGGAGATTTCGACATTAGGATTTGTGGTTAAGTTCTATTAAGACTTTAATATTAGAATTAGATTAATGGTGTAATTATAATTCTATATTAGACGTTAATATTATAATTAGACTAACGGTGAATTAACGGTATTTAACGAAAAAGTTAAATGGATAATCATATAATTAAGGATAAATTAGAAAAATTTAAAAAAAAAATAAAAATTAAAACCTGAACAATTTGAATCATTCATTTGATTTAATAATTTGGCGGTCATTTTTTCTACCCAATGTTAATAATTAAATAAATTCGTTGGTCAAATCCGCTAATATAATCCGCGCGCTAACTGCTGATTGTCAAACAAGGACATTGCAAGGTAGTTCTCACTTCAATTTGTTGTGTGATTTGAATACTCTCTTTGTCACAAAATCTCTCAAGTAGTTAATATGGTTGGCTTTATTAATTATATATTTTTTTATTTTTTTTTATGGTATTAATAAAATACTTGGTAAATAAATATATAGCATTATTTTGTATTATAACTTTGATATTTAATTAGAAAAATAGTGCAAAAAAAAAAGATAATAGACAATGTAGTGAATATAATCAATTGATGAATTTGAATGTAAAAATTTTTACATTTGAGAAAAATAAAGACAATATAACTAATGAAAATATTTATCTTAATTAATTTATTGATAATGAATAATTTTTTTTCACTGAATTAAGACATTGTAAGGACAATGTAGCGAATATAATCAATTAATAAATTTGAATATAAAGAATTTTTATATTGTAGAAAAATAAAGACAATATAACTAATACAATTATTTCTCTGATTTAATTTATTGATAATGAATAATTTTTTTTTTGAATAAAGGCATTGTGGACACATAATTCTAAATTAAAGAAATGCATATCTATAATTTTTTGTTGTAGCTACTAAATTATTATTTATATAATTTAATAAGAGTAAAATAGAGTACTAATTATGCCAACTTTGATTGGGATGAGGTTCGAACCTAAGACTTTTTTTTTTTTTTTTTTTAATTGAAATCAATGAGTAAGTTAACGGTGAACTAACGGCAATTCTTAAAATTATAACGGAATTAGTAACGGTGTGTGGGTATTTTAGGAAATTTTAGTGTAAAATTTAAATCTTATCAATCTTTTAATCAATCTGAGCCATTCATTTGATTAAAATCTGTGACCGCCATTTTTTCTACCCATTATAGGCCTAACTCTCTTGGGCTCTTATTAGTATAGTAGATAGTAGATAGTAGATATAGTGAAAGTATTTTACATATTTGGTAGTAGGATGTAATTGAAATGATTACAATATTAATGTTTGGTTATGTATGACCCTATAATGGAAATAAGAGTGTTTGGTTTATGGATTTACACACTATGAATGAGAATCAAAATCATAGTTATTATTTGGTTGATAAATTTTTTAAACAAAACTATCACTACAAGAAATTTCATATTTAGTGATAATAGAAGTTGTCAACAAAACTATCAATTTTGGTCACTATTGAAATTAGTGACCAATTTTTGAAGTCGTCACCTATCGTCACTATATCCTCCGTCACTATTGTATTAGTGACGACTTTTGAAAAGTTGTCACAATTAGTCACTACTTTTGTGACAATATTTACTTACACTAAAGTAGTATTTGAGTGATAACGATAGTTGTCACAATAAATGTATAATTTGTGACCAAATATGTTATTACAAAAAATTGATATAGTGACAACTAATATCATTGCAATTAATTATTTTATTGTGACAACACTTTAGTCACAATAGTTGTACTTATTTGTGAGAATTGTTCTTGACGCAAAAATGATTATTAGTGACCAAAAAAGCGGTATCATTAATTACTTTGTTGTGACAACAATCATGGTAACAAATGTTGTATTTATTTGTGACAAAAGAAGTTAACTCTAAAACAATCATTAGTGGTAACTAAAGTCGTACAACAATTCAATTTCTTGGTCACAATTCTTTTTTCAAATAATACTAGCCAAATGCACATAATATAAAATTATTTATTTTAAAATCTTGTCATAATTAAATGTTTTAATTTAATTATTATTTGGAATGAAATAATTCATTCAACAAATGTTACTCGTCAAATTAAAATTAAAATATATATATAAAGACATCATTATCTAACAAATATACTTTGTAAGAAATACAACTGAATTCAAATACAAACGTTTTAAAATAAAATGTCTTGATTATTCTTCACTTGAGTTAGTTGATGGAGATGCATTGCTTAGCATATTTTGAAGCCCTTGATTGCTTGCTAAGTGAGCAAAAATTTACTTGATTTCAGCAGCTTGTTTCTCTAAAGCTGCTTGCGCGATTTCTTTAAAATTTGTAACTTCTTCTTCTAAATTCTTTGAAGCTTCTATTCTACTTCAAGAAGAATCTTCTCCTGACTTTTGAAGTTATCCCCTTAAGACCTAAACCACGTGCATAGCTTACTTTCTTTTTAATACCAAATCAAAATGCTCAACAAGTGGTAGAGGTGCAGCTGAAATCTTTTCTTTATTCTTCTCTCCATCTTCTTGTAGTTTATTCTGCAATTAAGATAATGAGTGTTTGTATTTCTGTAGAATAATAATGTTACAAGATTACAAGAGTATAATATAATAATACTCTAGTCTACTAGAAAGGAAAGAACTAATTACAATCAATATACAATCAATACTCAATCATCCTAATCACCCATAATCAAATCATAATCACTATAATCATGCATTTTCCTAATATGTCTAACACACCCCCTCAAGCTCAAGGTGGGATGAAGACAACATTGAGCTTGCCACGCAGCAGTCCAAAACGAGATGACGGGAGAGGTTTCGTAAAGATATCTGCCAGTTGATCTTTCGTAGAGACGAAGTTGACCTGAAACTCTCCCGAGGCAACTTTATCACGAACAAAGTGGAAATCAATTTCCACGTGCTTAGTCCGGGCATGAAAAACGGGATTAGCACAGAGGTATGTGGCCCCAAGATTGTCACACCAAAGCGTTGCGGGCCGACCTGAGTGTAAACCAAGTTCACGCAGCAGTGAAATAACCCAAGTGACTTCAGCCGAAACATCTGCTAACCCCTTGTATTCTGCCTCAGTGGAAGATCGGGCCACGGTTCGTTGCTTTCAGGAGACCCACGAGACCAAGTTAGTGCCTAGAAACACAGCATAGCCACTTGTGGACTTCCGGTCTACTGGACACCCAGCCCAGTCCGAGTCGGAGAATGCATGAATGTTAGTGGATGCAGAGGATTGCAAACAAAGACCATAAGATAGCGTCCCTTTAACATATCGTAGAACCCGCTGTAGAAGCCCCCAGTGTTCAATGGTTGGGGCGTGCATAAACTGGCACAGGCGGTTGACAGAGTATGAGAGATCCGGACGTGTGATGGTTAAATATTGAAGGGCGCCGGCAAGGCGGCGGTATTGTGTGGGATTGTCGTATAGTTCATTATTAGGTGCAACAACTTGAGTAACAGAAGCCGGGGTGGTGAGGGGCTTACAGTCAGTCATACCGGCCCGATTTAAGATGTCTCCCATGTAGCGACGCTGAGATAGGACAAGAGCACCGTCGATGGATAGAGTTTCAATCCCGAGGAAGAAGCTTGGCGTGCCAAGGTCCCGAATCTTGAATGCCGTAGATAACCGTTGCAGCAAGATGTCAAGCAAGGTTTAATCATCTCCCATCATAATGATGTCATCTACATACACCAACAGGAACACACGGGCAGAGCCAGCGAAGTAGTGGAATAAAGAGACATCAGTCTTAGAGGCAGTGAAACCTGTAGACAGAAGAAAATCATGAAGGCGTTTAAACCAGGCCTGAGGAGCCTGTTTTAAACCATACAAGGAGCGTTGAAGGTGGCACACATAATCTGGACGGCCTGGATCTTCATATCCTGGTGGCTGACACATAAAGACCGTCTCAGATAGACGCCCATTGAGAAAGGCATTGTGGACATCAAGTTGACGGAGAGTCCATCGGCGAGATACTGCTAAAGAAAACAACAAGCGTACCGTTGTAGGTTTTACAACGGGGCTAAAAGTATCAAAAAAGTCTTCGCCGGCCACCTGGTGAAACCCTTTTGCAACTAGACGCGCTTTGTAGCGCTCAATTGTCCCATCAGCTTTCCGTTTAGTGCGATAGACCCACTTGCACCCGATAATATTCATGTTGGGTTTCGGCGGGACTAATGTCCAGGTGTCATTATGAAGCAGGGCATTGAACTCTTGATCCATGGCATCCCGCCACTGCGGGTGACTAACGGCTTAAGTGTAACAGGTTGGATCAGCCGTGTCACTAACTGCAGCAAGGGCTAAAAACTGTTCATCGGTACCCCGAGTCATGTGACGCAAGCGCATGACGTGACTCTGTTGTACTGGCTGCTTAGAGCGACGGGTACGGGGACGTTCTACAGCCAACGGAGCAACTGTATCCCTTGCTGGTGGGACAGTCGGAGAAGTAGACGAGCCCGTAGGAAGAGGTACTACTGGACTTGAACCCCAAGGTTCAGTAATGTCATCTTTCTGTCCTGGACCCTGCACAGTAGCTGCTGTAGCAAAAGGGAAAACAGATTCGTCAAATCTAACATGGCGACAAATAAAGGTTTTCCCCGTGTTAAGGTTTAAGCAACGATATCCCCGATAAGACATGGGGTACCCTAAGAAAACACATGGGGCGGACCGAAACTCTATCTTATGACGGTTGTATGGACGAAGATAAGGAAAACAGAGGCACCCAAATACCCGAAGAAAAGTGTAAGTTGGTGGGGTTTTATATAGACGGAAGTGAGGAGAGTCAAAATTTAAGACTGAGGACGGTAGGCGATTGATTAAGTAGGTTGCGGTTTCAAAGGCAGAATCCCAGTATTTAAGAGGTACCGAGCCTTCAGCAAGTAGAGCTAGACCAGTCTCAACAATGTGCCGATTCCGGCGCTCTACTCGCCCGTTCTGCTCATGTGTATAAGCACAAGATTGCCGGTGCACAATGCCAAGAGATAAAAAAAAGAGAATGCAGACGGCGGTATTCACCCCCTAAATCAGACTGGATGGCCTTGATAGAACGAGAAAACAATCGTTCTACCATGGCCCTAAAACAATCAAAAACCTTATATATATCAGTTTTTACACGAAGTGGATAAAACCAACAATAGCGAGTGCTGTCATCAACAAATAAGACAAAATAACGAAAACCATCGGCTGAAACAACGGGAGCCGGACCCCAAATGTCTGTGTACACAAGATCAAGGACATTACAACTAGAAGTGTTTATTCTATCCAAAGGAAAACGCGAAGACTTGCCAAGTTGGCAAGCCGAACATAAAAGTGGGGAACTCGATTTATGAGGGATGACCGGACACGCCCGTAGCACACGAGAAAGGACACGATCATGCGGGTGGCCCAACCGACGCTGCCAAACCACGGGGGAAGCTCGGGCGGATAGGAAAGCCATATGTGACCTCGGGACTGACAGCTGATACAAACCACCCGAACTGGGTCCCTTAAGAAGAACCGCCTTGGTGATGCAATCCTTAACAAGAAAGAAGTTAGGATGAAATTCAAGATAGACGTTATTATCATGTGTGAAACGAGAAACAGACAATAATGAAGCCGACAGTTTGGGAACGTACAAGACAATTGTAAGGATTTGGAAACAGTGGGAATCGAAGCAAAACCAACACGAGATATACCTAAACCCGTACCATTACCAACACGAAGAACATCCCCGCCGGAGTACTCATCGGAATTAGATAGCATGGCGGCATCCGGCGTGGCGTGCGCGGTGGCTCCGATGTCCGGGAACCAGGTGGTCGAGACTGCAGCACTGCCGGCGGTGTCTCCGTTCACAGCAACGTTGGCCTGAGGAGGAGGCTGGTCACTGTACCGGCGGAAGCAATAAATCGCAGTATGCCCGTGAGACCGGCAAATCTGGCAACGTGGTGATCCTCCTCTGCCCCGACCAGCGTTCCACCGGCCGCCACCGCGATTATTCCCGCGTCCTCCTCCACGCAACTGCCGGCCTCCATCAGTCGACTGCCGGCGACCGCGATTCGCAACCATTGCCGTCGGCGAACCAGTCGGCAATCCACCCGTCGGAAATTCATCAGAATAAATGAACTCCTGGGCCTGCAAATAATTGGAGAGTTGAGGAAGAGACACTGGGGTACCATTAACGGCCAAGGAAGCTGCCATCGATCGAAACTCCGGCCGGAGACCGCGGAAGACATATAAGTTCTGCTCGTCGAGGGAGATCGGACGTCCGGCCAGTGCAAGATCCTCCACAAGCAGTTGTGCCTTGCCGAGATATTCTGCTGGTGTCATGTCACCTTGCTGGAGGTCTTGGAAGCGGCTGAGAAGATTGAGACAACGCGCTCTGGTGGAGGACCCAAGGGCAGACTCGATGGAATCCCACACTTCCTTGGCGGTTGAGCGGCCGACTGCTAAATACATAACCTCCTCGGAAAGAGAGGAGATTAGGAGGGAAAGTATAGATTGGTCCTGTTGGACCCAACTGGAGAACGCCGGATTTGGAGCAGTCGACATTGCCTCGTCAGTTACAGCGCCGGCGGAGGTGGTGATCGCAGCAGTCACCGGCGGTGGGCATGGATTCTCTCCAGTGACATACCCCAAAAGACCTTGACCACGCAAGAATGGAATGAGTTGTGTACGCCAAAAAAGATAGTTCCGTGTCGTCAATTTGATCGACACAAAATGATGGGCGGAAGAGAGGTGATTTTGGGTGGAGTTCGGAGTGGGAGATACGGTGGTGGTCGTGACAGTTCGTTCAGAGGAGGTGTTGGCCATCGATGGGAAGGAGAGAAAATAGGAAAGAGATACCTATCACAATCTGATACCAAATGAGTGTTTGTATTTCTGTAGAATAATAATGTTACAAGATTACAAGAGTATAATATAATAATACTCTAGTCAACTAGAAAGGAAAGAACTAATTACAATCAATATACAATCAATAGTCAATCATCCTAATCACCCATAATCAAATCATAATCACTATAATCATGCATTTTCCTAATATGTCTAACAAAGATAAATATTAATAATTGAATAAATTAATTTAAGAAAGGTCACAACAAAAAATATATAAACTTTTTTTATATGTAAAATACGCTAGTGTTATATATATATATATATATATATATATATATATATATATATATATATATATATATATACTATACTAATAAGAGCCCAAGAGAGTTAGGCCTATAATGGGTAGAAAAAATGGCGGTCACAGATTTTAATCAAATGAATGGCTCAGATTGATTAAAAGATTGATAAGATTTAAATTTTACACTAAAATTTCCTAAAATACCCACACACCATTACTAATTCCGTTAAAATTTTAAGAATTGCCGTTAGTTCACCGTTAACTTACTCATTGATTTCAATAAAAAAAAAAAGGTCTTAGGTTCGAACCTCATTCCAATCAAAGTTGGCATAATTAGTACAATTTTAAGAATTGCCGTTAGTTCACCGTTAACTTACTCATTGATTTCAATAAAAAAAAAAAGGTCTTAGGTTTGAACCTCATCCCAATCAAAGTTGGCATAATTAGTACTCTATTTTACTCTTATTAAATTATATAAATAATAATTTAGTAGCTACAACAAAAAATTATAGATATGCATTTCTTTAATTTAGAATTATGTGTTCACAATGCCTTTATTCAAAAAAAAAATTATTCATTATCAATAAATTAAATAAGAGAAATAATTGTATTAGTTATATTGTCTTTATTTTTCTACAATATAAAAATTCTTTATATTCAAATTTATTAATTGATTATATTCGCTACATTGTCCTTACAATGTCTTAATACAGTGAAAAAAAATTATTCATTATCAATAAATTAATTAAGAGAAATATTTTCATTAGTTATATTGTCTTATTTTTCTCAAATGTAAAAATTTTTACATTCAAATTCATCAATTGATTATATTCACTACATTGTCTATTATCTTTTTTGTGCACTATTTTTCTAATTAAATATCAAAGTTATAATACAAAATAATGCTATATATTTATTTACCAAGTATTTTATTAATACCATGAAAAAATTAAAAAAATATATAATTAATAAAGCCAACCATATTAACTACTTGAGAGATTTTGTGACAGAGAGTATTCAAATCACACAACAAATTGAAGTGAGAACTACCTTGCAATGTCCTTGTTTGACAATCAACAGTTAGCGCGCGGATTATATTAGCGGATTTGACCAACGAATTTATTTAATTATTAACATTGGGTAGAAAAATGACCACCAAATTATTAAATCAAATGAATGGTTCAAATTGTTCAGGTTTTAATTTTTTAAAAATTTTTTCTAATTTATCCTTAATTATATGATTATCCATTTAACTTTTCCGTTAAATAGCGTTAATTCACCGTTAGTCTAATTATAATATTAACGTCTTCATCTCAAATGCTCTGTCGGACCGGGGTGTGGGGGGCCCTTAGGGTTGGGGTTCAGCCTTTTGGAAGAATAATATTAACGTCTAATATAGAATTATAATTACACCATTAATCTAATTCTAATATTAAAGTCTTCATAGAACTTAACCACAAATCCTAATGTCGAAATCTCCTCAAACAATATTAGTATATATTTAATATTTTATGCCCTAATTTTTATTTGTTCTCCCTTATGTCCCGTATTTGGTTTCAACCATACCTATACAATTATTTTATTGACAATTATAATCAATCTTGACTATATTATCTTGCATTTGTAAACTTAGAATTACCTACTTAACCCGCACGGGCTTAGCTCAATGGTTTAGTGGGCAGTATTTGGGAGAAGAGACCAAGGTTTGAACCTCGGCGGCGGCAGTGCGGGAATTATGTCCAAAGTGGGCAGATTCCTTGTTCGCACCGGCATTTGGTCCTGTCTGCTGAACCATTGAGTCACCGTGATTTACAACTTCCTACAATGCTCTATCGGGTCAGAGTGTGGGGGGCCCTTGGGGTAGGGGACTCAACCTTTGGGAGAAGAATTACATATTTAAATACGCAAATTCAACCTTCAATTATCTATGCATGAACAATTTCAATATAATCTTGCCTTAATATACTTTAAAGTACTTATTTAAAAAAAAACATTGGGCATTATCCCAATCGCGCAATGCGCGTAAAAAACTAGTATATATATATATAAAACTGCCGTATTTACAAGGAAATATAATATCCTTTTTATATTTACTAGTAATAAATTTACAAGGAAATTATATATATATATATATATATATATATATATATATATATATATATAAAATATAAATACATATGTCATTCAATAATAATAAAATAAGTTTTTTTTTTTATATACAAAATACATACGAAAGTATATATATGTGTAAGTACAGAACATATAATAAATCAAACATTGCACTCATTTTTTTTAGCATAATACATGTTCAATGCTAAAAAAATTATATATTTTAACTATTATGAATATAATTTATCTATATATGATTCATACAACAAAACCAACCAACCAAAATGTCGTATTTATGGATTTTTTACTAATACATTATACCAAAATTTTCAGATAACACTTGGTCATTTCATAAAATAATTCATTTGATTCATAACTTTCAACCAATCAAACATTTTTTTTTTTTAAAAAACAAAGATGGGCAAAGTAAGATAAAGGACAACCACTTACTTGGAACAAATTCTTCCCAAATCTTTTTAATCTTTTAATGCTCTAAGTTCTCCTCCTTAGGCTTATGCATGTAGATTGTTTCACATCTTGAAAAGAATATGAGAATAATTTTTTTTTTCTTTTTAGAATTTCGAAAATGAAGAGATGGGAAGAAGAGAGGATTTTTTTTTTTCTTTTGCTAGTAGAATCGGCCAAGGTAGGAAAAAAGAAAGAAGAGAATATCTATATTGATTATCATCTAACCCTAGTCAACTTAGTAATTAATGGAAAGAATAATTTTAGTTAATTACCTAAAAATTTCTATCATATAAAAGCATACAATATATATCTATTAAGGTAATTAGAACTAAAATATATATTTTGTTTTTAAAACACACGTATTCATATATATATAAACGTACTTAAATATTCTTCAATTCCCATGTGTGTTGCGTGTAGTGTGTGTGTATATATATATATATATATATATATATATATATATATATATATATATATATATATAGGGACGCACTCAGGTGCGAATAAGTGCCCAGGAAGGAAATGCGAACGAATCAGCGCGTGACACGCGTCCAGATCTAATAACTTAAAAAAAAACGCGGTGGCATTTTCGTAAATAATTGAACATCGAAGTGCAAGTAAAATCTCTTATAAGTGCACCTATTTTCACCTATAAGTGCATGTAATTTTGCCTTGTTAGCATTCACTTTCCACAACCATTCATGCACCTGGGTGTGCTTATAACTATATGTGCAACTATTTATAACTATAGGTGCAACTACTTATAACTATATGTGCACCTACTTTCATCTATAAGTGCATGTAATTTTGTCTTGTTAACATTCATTGATCTGAGTTCAGCGGGTAGTAATACTCCTGAAAACCACTCGCAAACATTCATACACCTAGATGCAACTACTTATACATATGTATGCAACTACTTAGAACTATAGGTGCAACTACTTAGAACTATAAGTGCAACTAAGTATTGATGCTCAGTGTAAATTTTTACTTGCACCTATAATACATTTTACATGCACTTGTAATACATTTTACTTGCACTTCAATGTTCAATTATTTACGAAAATGCCACCGCATTTTTTAAAAAAATCAGTGTTTCTCATCCATTAGATCTGGACACGTGGACGAACAGAATCCATTCCTATTTCGCGCCTGGGCGAGCCGTTCGCACCCGAGTGCAACTATATATATATATATATATATATATATATATATATATATATATATATATATATATATATATATATATATATATATATATAGGCTTCGAATCCGGTGCACCCCCTAATTATATGATCCTGTGAGATCACTTGATATCCATAGATTGATTCCCAATTAATGGTTGAGATCATGAGATCTCCTAGAATAAAATAAAGATTTATCATTAAGTAAGGGTGTTAACAGTAATTCTACCTAGTGGCCTAATTATGGTTAAATTTATTATGGGAAGCTAAGCATGATTTAAGGGATATTAATACACTAAATATATATGGGGTGATACATCACATGGGAAGGGTAAAAAAATGCGCGAGACATTCCAAGTGTGAAGCCGGACCGGTGAGGGCGCACAGTCAAACATCTACCATCACAAGTGTGTGCATTACAGGTACACGGTTTGTGCGTGTTTTGCTTTTGTAATCGTTTGTGATTGTCTTGCGAGTTACGAAGTTTTAACATTAAAAACCGTCACAAATTGTATGTGTGTTTGTGCGTATATATGAGATTGCAAAGAGTGTGAAAATCAACATATACACCAACCACTTTCGTTTTGGGAGGCTGTTTGGGGATAATTTGGTATGTACCGATGAGTGCGTGGAAGTATAATATGTTGACCAAACTGATGGGTATAATGTGACAAATGTGAATGTGAGCTGCTATGTGCGAATATTAGAAACCGCATCACATATGCGTATGAATGGGAAGAGGTTTTTGTTTTTTTTTTTTGTTTTTGTTTTTTGTTTTTTTTCCAATTTGTGTATTCGATTTTTGGTTGTTGGCGTTTTTGGATTTGGTTATCTGTTATCCGAATTTTGTTGGTTAAAGTTGTCATTTAATTTGCAAAGGACAAACGCCCAGTAGTAAAAAAAATGTGGCCGTTTAGCACCTATGAACTAAATCTGGTGGATGCGTGTGTCTATGTATGTTTGTGCATGTGTGTATAACTTTATGGCTGTTTTGTGGTTTCATGGTTACACAAGAGTATTTATACTTGTGCGTATTGCCTCAATTGCGTTAGTATTGGTTGATGCATGATACTGTAACCGGAGAGGCCGAGTTCGGTTGTGATGGCTGGTGCACGGCCGTATGAAGCCTTGTGCACCACGCCTATCATGAGTCGTCCACACTTTGGTCTTTGTATATACTGAACTTTGTGTTATATCGGGTAGTGCATCATAGACTATAGTCTTGTGCACTATGCCTATAATCAGCTGACATAAATGCGATCACTGTGTATACTTAGCTGTGTTTCAGTGGGTGCATCGTATGTTGTATATTTGTGCATGGCGCCTTAATTCCATACGAATGTGTCAACTATGTTTTTCACAATAATTTGGTCTTTGTATATACTGAACTTTGTGTTATATCGGTTAGTGCACGATAGTATATAGTCTTGTGCGCTATGCCTATAATGAGTGGCCATAACTGCGATCATTGTGTATACTTAGCTGTGTTTCAGTGGGTGCATCGTATGCTGTATATTTGTGCCGCTTTAATTCCATTCGAATGTGTCAATTATGTTTTTTAATCTGTTAGCCTACGTAGGGACTCAAGTAGTACAAAGCGGGTGCGTGATTACTGTTTTGGTTTTTAACTCCAGTACTAATAATACGAATCGTTATGTAGGTGACATAAGCATGGAAGAAGGAGGGAAAAGCCAACACTGTGTGATGGATGAATCCCAAGACGGTACGAGCATTTGGTTTACGGAATGTGACCCATCGATAAAATCAGTTGTCGATCAAGTGTTTGATACGTTGGAAGATGGCATCGCGTACTACAAGACATATGCATTCGTAACTGGGTTTGATGTGCGCAAGAGTTCCGACATTAAGAGCAGGTATGGGATCATCCTCAAGAAGAAACTAGTGTGCAATCGTGAAGGGTATAAGGATGCAAAACCAAACACCACAACAGATCAAAATAACACCACACAAACAAAACGACGACGCCCGTCTAACAGAGTTGGGTGCATGGCGAAAATAGTTTTCAGAAGAAACAGTACAGGAAGGTACGTGGTCAAGAAGTTTGAAGAGGGGCACACCCACTGTTTGTGCGAGGAGAGTTACAGACCTTTCCTGAAAGGGAACAGAAAACTAGATATTGGACACCAACAATTCATCGTGAACTGCTCAAAAGTGAATATTGGGGCTAGTAAAAGTCATGACCTGTACGCCGAGATGGTGGGAGGAGTTGAAAACGTGGGAGCGACACACCAAGACTTCAAGAACTATAGAAGGGAGATTTTGGCGTACATGCAAGGAGGAGATGCGGAAATGCTAATATCCAAATACCTCGATCTCAAATCGGACTATGACGACATGTATTTCGAATACGAAGCAAACGAGAATGACCAGTTGGCACGTGTTTTCTGGGCAGATGGTATGGCAAGAAAGCAGTATAGTGTTTTCGGAGATGTTGTGTCATTTGATGCTACGTACAAAACTAACAGGTACGCACCTCATTTACGGGCTGCATTAACGTTAGTGCGTGGACATGTTTGAACGCGTACTGGAGTGCGTGTACGGGCCCTCGGTCTGTGCGTTGCACTGCTATGGATATGAATGGATCAGACGATTGGTTACATTAAAATGCTAATAAATTTATGGATTAGATATTTCACAATACACAGCCTTGGCTTTTATATTTTCCATACGCTATATTCCTATAATTATATTTATTTCAAAGTATGAAACCCTGTGCGCTACATGCGTATTAGTTAACACATTTCCTCGTGAACACAGGTACAGTCTCGTGTTCGTCCCATTCACCGGTATAGACCACCATAAAAGATGCGTAACATTCGCAGCAGCACTGATTGCCCGTGAGGATGTCGACTCGTACCGTTGGATACTAAAGAACTTTAGAAACGCAATGGGAAGCACACCACCACTCACAATAATCGACCAAGACCCGGCGATGAAGGTTGCAATTGCACAAGAATTCCCAGAAACTCGCCATCGTTACTGTATGTGGCATATAATGTCGAAGGTCAACGATAAAGTGAGTCCTGAATTAGCAAAAAATGAAGCATTCCGAAGAGAGCTGAATGATGTTGTTTGGAATGACAGCTTGACTACCCCCAAATTTGAGGTTGCATGGAAAGCGATTATAGAAAAGTTTGGCTTAATTGAAAATCCATGGCTAAACCGCATGTACGACGAGCGCGCATCGTGGATCCCTGCATGTTTTGAAGGTGTTTTTATGGGTGGGCTATTGCGTACAACATCACGCTCTGAAGCAGAGAACCGGTTTTCAGAAGCAACACTAGCAAACATATTTGTGTTTCGGAATTTTTTAACAGGATAGAGAGTACAATCAGAAAGCAACGCCTAACATAGACCGAGCTAAACGGTGCCAGCCTTGCACAGACACCCCCCTACAAAACCCAATTGCGCATCGAGCGAGCGGCAGCGTCAATATATACATTAACTGTGTTTTATGATGTGTAGAAGGAGATATGTGCCGGATGTTTTGATTTCCGTGTCCGTGGTGTGACCCGCGGTGAGGCCGGGAACACATATGAGGTCGAGGATGAGCACGATGTACAATACACGGTGTTCGTTGAACACGGGACAAGGACGACAACCTGCGAGTGCGGAATGTACATCCGGATTGGACTGCTGTGCAGCCATGCATTTGCAGTGTTAATATATGACAGGAATGAGGACATACCCCCCCCCCCAACATATCACACCCCGGTGGACACGTATCGCATTAACCACTTCGCCAATCAAAACTTGCAATGATACGCTCCAACGTGGCACCCCCAAAGCACGAGACACCAAAGAAGAAAGTGACGTGCTGCACACAGTGTACAGGTGCATAGCCATGGCGCAAGGAGATCCCACGAAGCTAAAACAAATACGCAATGCGCTAACGGAAATTGAGACCACATGGTGCATCGACGGTGAAGACGACGTGGCCGTAGAGAAAGGGAAACAATCGATCAAAGAGACATTTTGTGGTGCCCCCACACCTGACACAATCACCGTGCATCCGCCCGCAGTATCAAATACCAAAGGGTCAGGAAAACGAATGAGGACAACCAAAGAAATTGCAATGAAGGAACAAAATAAGAAGAAGCGAACATGCAAAACATGTGGACTCGCAACCGGACACAACAGTAGAAGCTGCCCACAAAAGTAGAAATAATTTTATATCCGTGAATGCTATTTTGTGCACAAATGTTCTGACATTATTATTGAATTACGAGTTAATAAACATTTTTATTGAATAAACCTACCATCCCTGGATCCCGAATTACCAACAAACATACTCATATAACAATACAAAGGCAATGCAACTCCCAGTTCCCGTAAAATGAAATTGAAAAAAAAAAAAAAACAGTGCGTGACAGCAAACAATGCATGTGCGTGGAGAATGAGTCAATACTATATTGAGAAATTGAGATTAGCACCACATTGGTTGGCTGATGCAACCTGGATGTCGGACAACTCCCTGCGAAAATACCCCCCATGGATTTTGGAAATATAATTGAAAAAGAAAAGGTGCGTGAATGTAAATTATGGATGTTCGTAGACAATGAGTGACCGAAAGTAGTAATAAATTGATATGGTCATCATCTGAAAGCGTCTGGTGCCATCAGTTTACTAATCAAACTAATGCATAGCAAATTTCGTACCTATAAATGTTTTTATTTATAAAAAAAAAAAAAACCCCCCGGTGCGTGACTGCAAACTATGCGTGTGCGTACAGAGTGAATCAAAACTTTATCGAGACAGTCAGATTAACACCATATCGGTCCGATGATGGACCATGGATGTCGGATAACTTCCTGCGAAATACCCCACATGGATTTCCGAAAATATTAATGAAAAAAAAAAACAAAAAGTGCGTGCCTGTAAAGTACGCATGTGCGTATACAACGAGTGTCCGAAAGTATTAATAGAATGATACGGTCATCATCTAAAAGCGTCAGGTCCCATTGGTTACCTAATCAAACAAATGTATGCCAGACTAGTTTTTTGCATATGGCCGCAAATTTTGGAGATTCAAAAAAAAAAAAAAAAAAATCAACGTGAGTGCGTATTACTTTTGAACGCATGTGCATGTAGACTGACATTGATGCATCCGCTAAAAAAATAAATGCAACATGAACGAACATCAGTAATACGGAAAAGTTTACGTGGAAATTCAAGATAAAAACACCACACAACAGTGCAATGACGACACGCGTCTAACCCCGCATTATTAGGAAAAGCCGAACAAATGGCAAATAAACAAAAAAAAAATTAAAATAAAAAATTAAAATAACCGTACGCCCCTTCAACGGACCGCATCAACCGAGCTCTTAACACGGGCGACATTTGCGGCTCTATGCGTGTTGCGTTGGAACAACAAAATATCGAACATGAACCTGACACGTAATTCTAATAAGGCACGCGCATCACCCCTACGTAGCCCGCAATCCCATGTTGAATACGGTTGCCCAACATAAGACTCCATGTGACGCATGGCAAACACACCGCAATCGACTTTGTTCTTTGCGTCTCGCCACGATAAACGAACCCTACGAGGCACCAATTTTGACGCCTTCATATATAATGCGATCACCCCCATATCCTCAAAGAAAACGGACAGCAGATCATGCTACAAAAAAAAACCCCAAAAAATTAAAACGCAACACCGGGAGCATGTATATCCGCGGGGTCCCAAAAAAGAAAAAAAAATGAAGGCATACAACAAATAAAGGAACATGCACCTACTGCACCTACCAACACCGTTAGGGTGTGACCATATTTGTCGAGCGACGGATCCTCCGCGGAGGAATTATCAATGATGTCAAACCGCAAACACCTAAAATCCACTAAAACGACATAGTAGTGGTGCGCTTGAAGTATGGGGAAAAAAAACTGCGACACAAAGAAATGCAACAAAACCCATATTAAAAAATGAATGATGGCAAGTGCACATTAACCAAATGGACACAAAAAAATTAACGAACCATGTCTATATCATCCCATGATTTATAAGGCGACAACTTCAACTCGTCCTGCATGCTATCTGTAAACCACTGTAAACGACTTCCACGAGGAGCCGAGACATCAACCACCGTGTGAAGCTACAATGTTAAACCCCCAATCAAAAATCTAAACAACGGAACATGGAAGATGAATACTTTAAAAAAATGACAACAAGAGATAAACCGTCGTCAACGTGGATACGAAAAGCCTAGACGGTTCCCCAGCAACCTTTGACATTTCTCTAAAAGATAACACACAAGTCCACGCATTTAAAATGCCCACCAACACTTCATTACCTTCCACCAAGGAGACGAACTCGACCCGACATGCTGACCGACCACGCCAAAGAAACAACACCTCTTCCCTGATTATAAAACCCCGACAGAAAAAGGAAAATCAAAACACAAGAAAAGTAGGAAATAAAAACTGCAATTATCACAACTGAAGTACATGTCAGCGCGCCCCGATCTAGCAATCCAATTGTACACATCTTGGGCACTAGGACCCTGCACATTTTCTGCGTGTACAACGCGTGAGCATGTCCACCGTTCGTACGAATTCAGATCAAGAGTCCTCAACGTGCGAACATTATTTAAAGGCTGGCGGGACTGCTTTGTTGGTGCACGGCACGGTTCAGTATCAGCAATGGAGCTACCAGGCCGCGTCCCTACACGAATACGCTGCACAGCAAACCGATCCCCAAACACCGTAATGTGTAACAAAAAAATAATACACCCACAAAAAACAACATATACTGTATAAAACCTACACGCCATTATACCCCGTACCTCATTAGGGGTGAATGGGGTGCCGGCATCAGCATTAACCCCCCCCCTCCGACCAACACGTTTTGTAAAAGCTTGCCCACGAACATCATCGCACGAAGACCCGAAAACACGAGCACCAGGCGAAAGAGTGCTGGGACCACCAACCTACCACCAAAAAAAAAAAAAAACAAAATGCTGCTATGTAAACCCCACTATTATACGCACAGACCACCTATTAAATAAATTCGTAAAGCATCGAAACATATCAAGGAACACTTACTGGATGACATGGGGCCGAAGAGCACCCCCGAGGCATTACATTCGTCGATTGTGCGTTATACTCACGAACAATCGCGTCCACCACATCCCTACATTGGGAAGGTAGATCCTGCGACAGACCATCACCCACACCCGAAAATTGCTGAGACAACCCAAGACTGAACGATGGGCGGAATGTATCATCCTAATAAATTAGAAAACCAGTCATACAAGCTCCCCAAAAAATACAACACACCATACCTAATTTCACATTGATTGAAGTAACGCAATAATAAAAATATGAAACTAGACAAAACATGTACGCATAACACCAACCATTTACCACCCCGTGCAGTACCAAAAAAATATACATAGTTACCCGCATGTCACGGATACAATCGCACACCATCCATGTCATCAAAAATACACATCAACCCCAAAAACATACAATATCACCCACACTAACCCTAATACCGCCTCCTTTTCCTACGACGGCGAACAACCTTACTTACAGCATCGGGCATACCACCTCCATCCCCCGGCGCGGGCGGAGCACCACCGGCAGACTCAACGCACTGACCCGCATCTCCCGCAATATCTGCCTGCTGTCCGTCTGGAGCTTGCTGGTCTAACCCTGCATCAGCTTGTGAGACTTCAACGACAGTAGACTTCTGCTGAACAGCACTAACCACCGCATCGACCGTCTCAAAGTTCTCAGGGTTGTCCCAGATATCATCACCGCTCAGCGCAGTAGCCCCCCCCCCCCCCCCCCCCAGACCACCAGACGGTGCACCACTGTTGGACCCAAGCTGATCAGCACTCAAGATGATCCTCCGAGCACCTGCAACAACTCTAAGAAAGTCCTCCGTCGGTCCTGTGTCGTCACCATGGTGGTCCATAAAGATCATAAAATCGTCAATAGCTGCAGCTACAGCATCGGCCTTTTCAGCATAAATCTCGGCCACAGTCTGCATCAATACACAAGATGTAGGTTATGCAACAATGCATCACCCATAGTACCCCCCCCCCCCCCACACGCACACACAGCATGCCACACATTCATTAAGAAGAGAAGGCACACATGCTTATACTATAACGCATCCACCCTACCACCTTGTACGCACCCACACACGCGTCCAAACAATTAATAATAAAAAAAAAAACCACATTACCTGCACCGAACCAACATCATTACAACACACAAATAAAAAAAAAAAAAAAGGAACAATTTCACACCCCCCCCCCCCCCCACAAAGATAGCACGTTCATAACATGACAGTGCATGTCTAACAGAATAACAAACACACAAAATTTAATTTATTTATAACCGTCAACAATATACAATACACTATAACAATAGAATACCATGCTTATACTATACCGCATTCACCCCAACACCCCGTACGCACACACAACTCGTCCCCCCCCCCCCCCCCCCAGACCACCAGACGGTGCACCACTGTTGGACCCAAGCTGATCAGCACGCAAGATGATCCTCCGAGCACCTGCAACAACTCTAAGAAAGTCCTCCGTCGGTCCTGTGTCGTCACCATGGTGGTCCATAAAGATCATAAAATCGTCAATAGCTGCAGCTACAGCATCGACCTTTTCAGCATAAATCTCGGCCACAGTCTGCATCAATACACAAGATGTAGGTTATGCAACAATGCATCACCCATAGTACCCCCCGCCCCCACACGCACGCACAGCATGCCACACATTCATTAAGAAGAGAAGGCACACATGCTTATACTATAACGCATCCACCCTACCACCTTGTACGCACCCACACACGCGTCCAAACAATTAATAATAAAAAACAAACCACATTACCTGCACCGAACCAACATCATTACAACACACAAATAATAATAAAAAAAAAAAACGGAACAATTTCACACCCCCCCCCCCCCCCCCAAAGATAGCACGTTCATAACATGACAGTGCATGTCTAACAGAATAACAAACACACAAAATTTAATTTATTTATAACCGTCAACAATATACAATACACTATAACAATAGAATACCATGCTTATACTATACCGCATTCACCCCAACACCCCGTACGCACACACAACTCGTCCCCCCCCCCCCCCCCCCCCCTAATAACACGAAAACAAGCAACATAACCTGCACCGAACCAACATCATTAAAAAAAAAAAAAAAAAAACAACAACAAGGGAAAATGACACCCCCCCCCCCCCCCAACAAGGACAACATATTTATAGCATGACAGTGCATGTCTACCAGAATATCCAGAAACCAAAGTTTAAACTACTTTTTAAACATCAACAGCATCCAATATACTA